TAAGTATAGTTGTTGAAGACATGAAACCAGGACAGTTATATGTGGAATTGGAGAGGAGAGGATGCATTTGGAAGGTGACTGAACACTAGCCTTGACAGCATTTGGTTTTTGACAGATGTGGTACTTTGAAGGAAAGGTCTGATCACACTGTCACATCCTACAAAAAATGGAGGATATAGGAAGTGGAATGGATTTGGGGCAGAGGGAGAGGAAAAACAGAATGTGAATTTTGAACTTCTTGTTTTCAGTACCGTGAGACAATCAATTTCTAACAGTCCATTTTTTATGCTTTGTTACCACATTAACCACAACCCTAGTGAACGAGGTGTGTGTGCATAATACTTTGGTGAGAGCACATACAGCCAGAGAAAGAAACTTTGAATAAGTGCATCAGAGAGGTGTTGGGGGAACCAAGAAGGGATTAGGTCACCTAAGCTAAGAGGAAAACGATATTTCCCAAAGCAAATGGTAGTCATAGTGTCAGTTCTGCAGAAAGGTGAAGTAAAATTATGACTGAAATGTCAGTCCAGAGATTCTCACTGACCTTTCCAAAGTATTCCCAACGGAGTGGAGGTAGAGATCTTAGAAAGCTGAGAACTCAGAGACAGCACAAGTAGCTCTTTCCTGTCAATGTTTGGTGATGAATGGGGACCTCTTTGCTAGACCAAACACAACTATTGTCCTTAAAGAGCTACCTAGAAACATGGACACATATTAGCCAGATCCGAGTCTTCTCTTCTCTGCTTTCATAGCTAAACAAAGGAGAGAAAAGTCAGTATTTCCTGTCTACCCAAAATTGGGAAGGATTTCAAGAAAAAAAGGATTTTTCAGCAGTCATTTACATGTTGGAATTTTGGTTTTGACACAGATACCATTCTGTTGTATTAAGTCACAAGAGAGTTGTCATTTGAGCCTTCTCAAAGAAAAAGCTTGAGATGAATCTGGTCATGTAAAAAAGGAAACTAGACCACATGGAATTTGGAGGCTCACTTAGATTTATGTCAATAAGCAGAATAAATAGAGTAGAATTGGAACATTGAAGTATTAAAGCATTTTATTAGAAGTTTTATTGAAGATTTTGAAGTCAAAATGAGTCTAAAGTTTGTTTTCTGTAGTCTCAGAGATATTATAGGCCAAACAATTCAAATGTTATAGTTCTATATTATTGTGAATAAAAATAATTAGATTTGACTTTACTAAAAGATCTAATGCATATAAAAAAGAATGACATTTAGTTGAGTAAATCAATTAGTCAACTGGTTTCAGGTTTATCATAACTGACCACCGGTAAAATCTGAAATAAATAACTACCAAAAATATGATTTTAATCATCACCTCCATCTTAAAATTATTGTCAACTAATTAAACAATAAATATTTATCAAAAACCTGATAGTTTTAAGGCACTGTGGAGAATACAGAAAAAAATAGCTGACTTTTTAAAAATTTATTTATTATGTACACAAGAACTGGGGTGTAAGCCAGAGGTGTGGGGTGGGGTGGCGGTGAGAGGATTCACCAGACAGAGTGGGGAGCAGAACAGGCAGATCTACTGAAATACACTGCTGAGGGGATGAGTGGGTGAGACAGGAGAGGTCTGCTGCGCCATGTGGATTAGCTCCCTGGCCCACCTGCAATGGCTGGTGATAGCTTTATAACACTGGCTTTAACCCCTATGCCCTCAGGGAGGCCCCGGACATGTTATTTTTATAGTCTGATTGAAAATGGAAAAAAAATATGAAATTACAAAAGCAATCCAATGCAGGTAATAATTTAGTGATGTTAAAAAATAAATATAAGTCACAAAAATGTTTATTCTAACTATTATAGACATACCAATTAGAACACTAATAAGATCTTTTCATTTATTAAACAGTAAGAAGCAAATAAACCAGTTAGAAAGTTGACAAAAGATATAAAAAAGCACTTCCCCCAAATAGGAGATACAGATGACAAATAAGTACAACAAAAAGATGTTCATCATTAAGCCACTATGAAAAGGAAAATTAAGCCACGGTGAAATAGTTCTGTATCTTGATAATAGCAGTTATTATGTGACTCTATAAAGGTGATAAAGTTGCCTACCACTACACACACACACACACACACACACACACACACAGACAATGCACATAAGACACAAAACTGGTGAACTCTTAATAAGCACTGTGGATCATACCAAAGTCCATTTCATGGCTCGGATAATGTACTACAGGCATGCAAGAGGTTAGCACTGGAAAAAACTAACCCCCCTGTACATTTTTTTTTCAACCTCCCTTGAATCTTTAATTATGTCAAATAAAAAACGAGAAGTAATTTTTTAAAATCCAAGATGTTCAGCTTTACTAAACATTAGAGAAAAACCAGTGCAAACACCAATGAGATATTTTCATCTATCAAATTAAAATCTGTGTTTTGTTGAGAGAGAGGGAGACAATAATTACAGGTGGGAGGGGAGAGCGCAAGGGACTGTGGAGATGGATCATGGTGGGGAGCTACGGGAGCTACACCTGAGGGAAGAAGCCAAATGCTGTCCAAAAAATGACAACGATGTAAGAAAATAAATAAATTTCTTTAAAAAAAGAAATTGGGGGGTCTCCTCGGTGGCGCAGCGGGTTGAGTGCCATGCTGTGAAGCTGTCGGCAGCCTCTGCAGTGCGGGTTCGATTCCGGCTTGCTGGCAAGAATCCCACATGGTGCCGCAGACCTCTCTATAATGCGCCCACTGCTCCCCTCAGGAGTGTATTTTTGTCATCTGCCTTTTCTGTTCCCTGCTCTGTCTCTGATGAATCCTCTTACCCCCTACACCTCTGGCCTGTACTCCAGCTCTTGTATAAAAAAATAAATAAATCTTTAAAAAAAAAATCGGGGGGGGCGGGGGAAATAATAATAATGCTAGTGAATACTTTCATATACTACTGATTGTGGAATGATGAATTGCTATAATCTTTCTGGAAAGCAATTTAACAGCATATATAAAGGGCCTTAAATTTTTTTTTACATTTTTATTTTCTATTTTTTAATTTAATTTAATTTTATATATTTTTTACATCATTTTTCATTATTGCACAATGTATGCATTTTCATCTTGGTTATAGTCCCCATACAATTCCCACCCCCCCTTATTTTGACCCTAATCCCTCCTCCCCGCCCCCCACACTCCCCATAGTGAGTCTCTGGTTTATAGTTGCTTGTTGATTTGATTACACAAGTAAACACCTGATCACTGCTTATGTTCTTTATGTTCTTAGAAATGTTTTCAGTTCATTTAACACCTTTGTTCTAGGAATTGTGCTACACATTAGAAATACCACAGAGATAATCTCTGCGCTGAAGGAGCTAGGTTGAGTGGAAATATACAAAGTGCGATGATTTTTTTTTCCAGTGACATGTACAAAGTAGCACAGGAAAACAAAGATTGTTGTTTTCCATTTATCTATAGGCCGTATTATGTTTAGATAAGATTTTTAAGTCAGTCTGGCTGGTGTCAAATAATAGGTAGCTAATTAGCAGAGAACTACTTGTTATCAGCATCACCCTGGGGAAGCCCCCTGCACTTCAGTGCTCTCCTCTGTAAAGTGAAGCCATAATACACTTACCAATGCCATGAGGGCTATAAGAATTTAAAAGGGTACAAAGCCATGTGGAAATAAAATATTTTAGGCTTTACAATCTGCTGTTTCTTATATTTTAAATTAAGTATATATTTTAAAGATTTATTTATTCATGCAAACAAGAACCGGAGTACAGGCCAGAGGTGCAGGGGGTGAGAGGATTCACCAGAGACAGAGTGGGAAGCAGAACAAGCAGATTGACTGAAATACACTGCTGAGGGGAGCAGCAGGAGAGACAGGAGAGGTCTGCCACGCCATGTGGGTAGCTTCCTGGCCAGGGATCGAACTCTGCTGCAGAGGCTGCGGATCCCACCAGGGGGGCCCTAAATTAAGTCTTAAATGTTTTTAACTCAGCCATATCTGATACAATTCTAGCAAATGAATTCATATTTATAACCCAGAAGTTGCTATAGTAGCTCTGCTAATTATCGAGGAGGGCAGGATAAATAAGGGGAAATCCAGACAAGTCCACTTAAAATAATTTTATGTAAGGAAGTATGACAAAAAAGTTAAGTTGAAATCCTGTCCTGTAATTGGTGATCATACACATGTCTTCCTGAAGTTGTCTATGCAACTCCCTCTTTAGCTTTCTGGACTTCAAATATTTTACATCTGATATATGTGTTTTTAATTTATAAAGATTTTTTTTGTTCATGAGTAATGTATGCAAATTTGCATTTCTAATTCCAGAAGATATATACATTTTATCATTTTTCTTTATCATAAAAATGCTTAGATATCTTGCTCTTATAGTTTTATTTTTAGGTATCTAGATAATTAAGTATTAAAAAACATGGAAAAAGATTTGTGAACCAAAATATTTATTATAGCATTACTTAATAGAATGAAATATAAGAATCCGCCTAAATTTAGCATGGTAGGTGATTGGTTGAGTAAATTAAAAATAAAATTGATGATGACAGAAGAAAACATAAATGAAAAAGTACATAGGAATAAATTAGTGAGGAAATATATCAATAACCGTAGCCCTTTCTTCTAGATTGATGAGCGTATGGAAATAGAATTCATCCTTTGATTAACATTGCCCAATTGACAGTGAATTTATATTTTTTGGCTAATCATGATGAAACTCAAAGTATTCTGCTGATGAGGTAGACTCTTAATTGAGGAGTGGGAAACACAGAACGCCTACAGAGACCCTGAGATAACAGAAGTAAGTGATGTAGTCTGTGGTTTAGCGTTGCCCCATGACGTATGAATGGTGGAAGTTGTTCCTCATCAGCAGACAGTGGAGCCCCATCTCCAGAGACCTGCTGGTCACCACTCCATCCTGTATGCAGGAACGTGGTCTAGAAAAACCTAACCTAATTTTTCTTTTTCTTTTTTTTTTTTTTTTTAAGATTTATGTATTTATACAAGAACTGGGGTACTGGCCAGAGGCACAGGAGGGTGACAGAATCCACCAGAGAGAGCGGGGAGCAGAACAGGCAGACAACTGACCAAAGACACTGCTGAAGGGAGCAGAGGGCGAGGCCGGAGAGGTCTGCCGCGCCATATGGGTTTCTCCCTGGCTGGTCGGGAATCGAACCCAGCTGCCGAGGCTGTGGACAGCTTCTCAGCGCAGCGCTCAGTGGGACGAGGTGGCGGAGTGGTTAAGGCGATGGACTGCTAACCTGATTTTTCAAGAGAACTCAAAGGCAGACTTCCAGGTGAAATATCCTGATATTTACAAAATACTCCAATATCTGGAGGGGATGGTTTGCCTCAGGCCACCAGTTTTGACCTCTTACTTTTGTTAAGGCAATAGTGGTTCAGAGGACAGAGGTCATTGTTAGAGGTGTGTTAGAAGGTTTTATTAATGAATCAGGGTTAGAAAGGAGGGAGTAGTTGCATATTATTTTATTCAATAAAATTTTATTGAATGCTGAGGAAATAAAGATGAAACAGATAAGAGATCCTAAATAGAAGCTACTAAGCAAGAGGTTTCCTCATAACTTAAGAGTTCTTGCCATATGGCAGGCATGATGGTATACTATATTACATCATATATATTGTTTCATTTAATTCACACAACTCCAGGAGTTAGTTATAGTATTACCTTCCATTTTTCACAAGTGAAAACTTAATTTTAGAGATATGAAGTTCACATAGCTGGTTAACAGAGCCAAGATTCCAGACCCCAATCTGACTCTAGATCTAACATCTAAACAGTATACTGTATATAATAGAAGATCAGGGGAGGAATAATTTACAAGAAAGACTTGTGCATGGAAACTTAGGCAGAGCTATATTGGGTCAGGGTCCAAAATGAGCTTTCATGAATAAATAATGTCAGTAATAGCTAGGGAACCAGTTGTCTGCAGTAGAGGTTGAAAATTAAAGACTGGAAGATAAAAAAGAATGTACAGACAGTTGCTTGAAAAAAACAATTATAATTAATTGCTAATACTTGAAAAAATCTGAAGAGTTTACTTGGTAATACTGGGGCCAAATTCCTACATAATAATAACCAATGAACGTGGCAGAAGTTGCCCAATTTCCAGTGGGATATAAACTTTACTTTTCCTGTGAGGCCTGCCTTGCTCATTTACATTATCTGTAAGGACTTTGAAGTTGCTTGAGTCTAAAGGCACTGACTTAGCAAGTGAGGCATCAGCAGGTGGGCAGGAACAGTTAAATGGAACAAGGCAGGTGAGAGTTGGGAATATAGAAGTTAAGGGTTTTTGAAAGTCTGGACGCAGTAAGACAATTCCCCGAGGATGCCATTTTTCCTCTTTTCCCCTGACTGGGTAGGAAGTGGCCACAAGACCTTTGCCTCGTGGTTATAAGGATGTGAGTTGGTTTGGGGGGACCTGATTGAGGGCTCAATAAAGAAGGAGGCGGAAATTTGAGAGACATGGAGAATTTAGACAGGAGGGGACAGAAATATAAATGTGCCCATTCAGTGGCTCATCCAAAATTCCCTAGCTATTTCCAAGAGAATTCTCTGGCTTATTAAATTTCCTGGTTGCCAGGAATAAAAGGAAAACAAAATCCAGTCTCTTGAATGCCCTAGTCTAATTTTCATATGCACCAACAGAGTGATCCCTTGCATACATCTCTTAGATGTTGATCTGAGGGCCCCATTCAGTTCTATGGAGGCTTAAGAAAAACATTTCCTTAGATTAAAGGTAATTTAGGCAGATTACTCTGCTAAGCCTAAGAGTTTCTTCCTCTGTTAGAAGGTTTTAAGATTTATTTTATTTATGCATGCATGCAAGAACTGGGGTATAGGCCAGATGTGCAGGGCGGTGAGAAGATTCACCAGAGACAGTATGGGGAGCAAAACAGACGGATCCACTGAAATACATTGCTGAGGGGAGCAGCAGGCGAGACAGGAGAGGTCTGCTGCTCCATGTGGGTCAGCTTCTTGCCAGAGATCGAATTCATGCCACAGTGCCTAGGGTAGATGGACACTTCCAAGACCTTAACCGCTGTGGCACCTGGGAGGTCCAGGTTCAAAATTTCCTAGTTTTCAGAGATTGAATATTCAGTGAAAGAATGGAGAAAATATGAAGCACACATTTAACATTAGGAAGAAACAAGTGGTTGCTGTAATGAGCAAAGACAGGATTAGAAACCTTACGTAGGAATTTTTCTTGGGTCCTTACAGTGACCTTGTTACTTAGATATCTCAGCTGATCCTATACCAGGATTCTCTAGGACTGAGGTAACCCTTTCCATGGAGATGGCATGACCTCAGCAAGACAGGTCTCTTCAACCTCAGTGAAGAAGGAAGTGAGTATATGAACTGATGTAGAATTCTGGGTCCCAGGTGGTGGTTGTGTTGTGTTAACATACATCTAAAGACGTTTGAACATATAACCCTAAATCATATACTGTGTTAGCTCAATAAAAATAATACAATTTTAGAAGAGAAAAAAAAGAGGAAATTGAGGTTTAGTAACTTACTCAAGGTGACACTATTAGTAAGGGAGAGAGTGAGAGACTTACTCAAAAAGTATGAACCCATGCCTACAAAATTTAGACCAAAAAAGTACACTGACATATGACATTTTAATGATGTCATAAAGTTAGAAATTAATGATAGAAATTGGATTGAAGTTCAGCCTCTATATTTTGTTAAATTTTTGAGGTCACCAGCTCTGTGTCTCTGGCCTAACCTCTAGCTTAACCTCTCTGAAACTCAGTTTCCTCATCTACAGAAATTTTGTACATATTTCATGTGGATTAAATGAAGTTTCACATTGAAAGAACTTAGCAGAGTACCTGGCTTATGGGGTAACAGATATCAACTTTAATAATATTTACTGAACCTGTGACAATGCTAAGTAGCAAGAATTAAAGAGAAATAAAACATGCTTCCTGTCTTGTGGTGCTCGGGGAGGCACTGGCATAGGAGTGGTGAGATTTTAACACAACAAGGAAACTATTATAACAGAAGAATAAATAGTGTGATTTGGGAGGGAGGAAAACACAGATATGGGGGAAAAAAGGAGAGAAGGCTGGCAGGGAACTTTTGGTTATGAGTTATGACCTGGACCTTGAAGGAAGAAAGCTTTGCAGACAGAGAAGGCAAGAAAGGCAGTCCAGGCAGAAGGAAGAGCTTTCTCAAAGAAGGCAAAATCCCTGAAGGATCCAAGAGGGACAGGGAATAACAAACAGTTTGAGTGTGACTAGGGGGTAAGTTATATGGGTTGACTGATAAGAGAAAAATTGGGTTTAGGCTGCGTAGGACCTTGTGTCTTGCTAAGAAGTATAACCAGTTGCCCAGAAGGAACAAGGAGCAAATCTTTAAAGCAACTGAGTTTCATAATCATACTATTTTTAATGAAAGAAAGCCATAACCTAAAAGATCAAGAGACGAACCAGTCAGCCAGTAGATTTTGCAGGAGGTGACCAAGACCCCACAACTGTATGCTAAGGAATAGGAGGTGGGCGGTGAGGATGAAGAGATAAAGGGTGCCATAAACACAATGTATCAAAGTGAAGGTATGAAAATGAACTGGTCCCTTCTTACCACAGTCATCCCAAAGGACCAAAACAAAAACACAGAAAACCTCTTTAAAAAATAATCTCTTTTGTTTGTATGCAAATAGGCCATGCACAGTGAAAATGCAACTCAAGTGTGATGACAAATGCAATATTTTGTCGTCAGTCCATGAAACTCAGAGATCAAATTGGTTTATAAATACAGTCCTTAAAAATTCGAATCTCCTATTTATTTTTTTGAAAGATTTATTTATTTATACAAGAACCGGGGTACAGGCCAGATGTGCGGGAGGGTAAGAGGATTCACCAGAGCCAGAGTGGGGAACAGAACAGGCAGACTGACGAAATACACTGCTGAGGGGAGCAGCGAGTGAGACAGGAGAGGTCTGCCGCGCCATGTGGGATTCTCCCAGGCCGGCCGGGATTGAATCCGTGCTGCAGAGGCTGTGGACAGCTTCACAGCACTGCGCTCAACTGCCAGCGCCAGCAGGGGAGGCGCAAATCTCCTGACTTTAAAACTTTGGCCAATCAGGACAAGACTTATTTGAGATTTTTTTTTTAATCTTAAAGTAGATTTAAGGAAAGCTATTTAAGGCACTTTTCAAAGGTCATTCCTTACTCACAAGAGTAGGAGGAACGACATCTTTCATTACTGGAAAACTTCTTTCAAGTAGCTACACTTTTGCGTGGTGGATTGTTAGAAAATTCCACATAAAGGTGTGTGAAATATAACAACCCACTTAGATAAGAAGTGGGCATAGTCCTACCAAGCCCTCCCAGCTCCCAACTTTAGGCTCTTCCCACCCCTAACTCGGTGGCTATGGGAAGATTGATTAAATAAACATGCAATAGGGCCACCTGTGACAGAATAAAGCAGAACAGTCTTTTAAAAAATTAATAAAATAAAGGTATGTGGGACAACTGCAAAAATCACACTTCCACCTTCTGCAACATCAACTTGAAAACTGAAAATCCAGGTTGAAAATGCCTATGTTAAGGATTCACAGAAATCCTCTGTGCATTGCTTAAGTTACAAAGAAGCCCCAGGGAAGTGAACCTTTGAAGGTGCAATGCTCCCCTCCAGCCCCTGTTATGAAATGGAAGCTTAAAAAAAATCCAGTGTTTTTTTTGAACAAGCTTACTCATATTGACTGTGTTCTGTATGCCCCAATCTATTTCATTTTACTTTGCAGTGCACATTTTATTTATACTCTTATATAAATATTTTGCATAAAAAGGTGTTTTCACAGCTCTTCTTGCTTCCCTAAATTTGAGATATGCTACAATTTGTTAAAATGTGTTAGTTTTGTTATGTATTATTTTCCCTCCTCTGCACACATAGAAAAAAACATATGGACCTAACTCTTCAAAAAACTTCTACATTTAGAATATTACCTCATTTTACTTCTTCTAAGTGAGGTTATAAAGGAAACTGCAAATGTCAGAGGCTTTGTGAAAGAAATGACAGTTTCTCAGAATGTGTAAATGTACACTATACCCAAATGGGCCCTATAGATTCAGAGACCCCAATATTTTAAAATTGGGTTTAATGAGCCCATGTAACACTAAAGACTGAAAAGAAATGTTTTGAATCTGATAATAGTTTTGTTGGCAGGAAGGGTGTTCTGGATGTGTTCTGGCTGCTGTAAACCTGGTCTCTAATGTCTATAGGGTGAGTCATGACTCCCTCGGCTCCCCAGGCTGCAGCTCTTTTCTG